GAGCCCCCGGGATAGCGAGCTGAACCCCCCGGGGCTGAACCCCCACGGGACAGGAGCAGTGGAACACGGGCTGAACCCCCGGGACAGCGAGCTGAACCCTCTGGGACAGGGGGCTGCAGGACAGGGGGCTGAACCCCCCGGGACAGGGGGCTGCGGGACCCTGGGACAGCGAGCTGAACCCCCCGGGACAGGGGCTGAGCCCCCCGGGGCTGTGGGGCTGAGCCCCCCAGGGCTGTGGGGCTGAACCCCCGGGACAGGGGGCTGCAGGACCCCAGGGATGTGGGACTGACCCCTCCATGGGGACATGGATTGCAGGACGGAGCTGAAGCCCCCAGGGTTATGGAGCTGACCCCTAGGGGCTCCAGGACATGGGAGTGAACCTCCCCAAGCTTGGGGGTACCAGGCTCTCCCAGGGCTGCCCCCCAACAGTCCTGGCCCCCTGGCTTCTGCTCCAAGCCCAGTCCTACCTTGTCTGGGGGCTACCAAGGGTGCACATACCCCCCAGGACTACCTTGTCCCAGCTCAGCCCCATGTCCCCAGGCCAGAGCTGGGAGCCCTTCCCCCCGTCCCCCCTCACCCTGGGGACCTTCTGAGCTGGATCCATCACCTGAGGCCTGCAGTGAGCCCACTCCCCTGCCCCCAAAGATCATCAGCACCCTAAAAACCCATTTCTCCATTTATGTGGTGTTGGATGGCTTTGGGGGAGGGGGTTACACTGCAGGGATCGGGGACACCCCCCGCAGCCTCAGGGCTTCAGGTACACGTCACCCACGATCTTGTAGGGGAAGTTCCTCCAGCCGAAGATGGGGGTTTGGGTGGGTTTGTTGTGCATGGCCCCCAACACCTCTGAGTTGGAGATCCCCGTGTCCCACATGTACACGGATGAAATCTCCCCCACAAAGGACTGCTTGGCTTCGAAGCCCCCCCCAAAGCTGTCCTGGTCCTGCCCCAGCAGGATGGACGCTGGCACTCCCACCGTGTAGCCCTTCTGCAGCCCCTTCCTCGGCCAGGGCTTCCCGTTGAACCAGAATCCCACGATGCCGGTGGAGGATTCCCAGCTGACACAAACGTGCTCGCTCTCGGCGAGGCTGACGGGCACCGTGAAGAACAAGAGCTTGTTCCCCACGGCGAGCTCGTACTGGCCGGCTTTGGGCTTGAAGAGCAGGATCTCGTTGCTCTGTTTTTCGGTGGCGTAGGAGAAGAGGCTGTAGGGCCGTGTGAGGTCGGTGAAGGACCTCAGGCACACGGTGAAGTTGTGCAGGGGCTGCTCCAGCTTCGCCGTCACCTGCACGTGGGCGGTTGGGGACTCTTGGGGGAACACGAACACCTTTTGCTGCAGGTCTGGGAGAGGCGACACAGAGGTGGCTGCTCCTGCCATTGCCGGAGGTGACCTCCAGCATCAACCCCCGGGGCAGGTGCCACCAGCACTGGCTGTGGCCCGGGGTGACGTGGGGTGCTGAGGACAAGCCGTGGGGAGCCCCTGTCCCCCAGCTGTCCCCTCGGTGCCATCCCTACCATTTATCCACAGGGTGTAGGTGGCCACGGCCGTGCCCTGGGGGCTGCTGGCTGTGCAGGTGTAGGTGCCCAGGTGGGTGTTGTTGAAGGAGGGGAGGACCAGGATGCTGTGGGGGCCTTTCTGCAGCGGAACTGGGCTTTCTTCCATCTCCCACAGGAACTCCTGGGGGCTGCACCGGGCCGGGGTCACTCGGGGGGAGCACACCTGGCACACCTGGCATGGCTGGGAGGGAGGGAGAGGCGCCTTACCCGGGATCTCCGGTGACCTCGCAGATCAGCATCAGCCGGTGGTTCACGGTGGGTGCCGCCGGCTGTGTCCAGATCCGGGC